CCCGCGCCACATCCAGCTCGCCATCCGCAACGATGAGGAGCTCAACATGCTGCTCAAGGACGTCTCGATCGCCCAGGGTGGTGTCCTCCCCAACATCCACGCCGTCCTCCTCCCCAACAAGTCGAAGAAGAAGTAAGCAAGCTTCGCCTTTCGGCTCGCGCACGCGTGCTCTGGACCTAACACGTCCTACAACAACCTGCGCTCTTCTTAGAGCGCACCCCCGTTCTCCAGCGAGGGCAGAATAACACAATCGACCAACAGCACCTGGAGCTGAGTTGGCGCTGCCGAGTATACGCTTGCGATTTACAGTATGGTAGTGGGCCAGGGTTGGAGAGTGTCCTGACAGTCACGACGAATCGTCGTCGTCGTTGTCGCCTGGGCGAGAGGCGTGCGAGAATGACGACGACGGCGAGCGATTGGGCGTCGACGGCCCCGAGGCGTCAACGTTGAGGCCGTTGCTCTCAATAAACGCATGGATCGACGGGGTCCAGTCCTCGGCGACAACGCGCCAGGCGCCAGTGGTTGGGCACTGGCGCATGGAGACCGAGCCGTTGACCGAGAACCGCGCATCGCGGAGCTCGAGCGTCGTCGCCGACGCCTCAACCTTGGTCGAGATCGGCGGGAAGAGGATGTCAGCGAGGGAAGGGACGCCGATGTCGACGAGGGCGTCAAACGGGTGGAGCACGTCCATCTCGGGATCCTTGTACCGATCGGTGGTGGCGGCGTGGCCCTGCTCAAGGCCTTCGCGAAAGAGCTTGAAGCACGCCACATGAGTCTCCGGCGCCGGCGGAACAGTGCAGACCAAGTTGAGCCACCCGAGCCAGACCTCATAGTCTGCCGCCGACTCTGCCGAGAGGAAGAAGGCCCTTCCGATGGTGCCCAGCTCGATGCAGTTTGTCCTCTCACCGAGATTGGTGGCCACGTACGTGATGTCGGCCACCCGGATCGACCCCTTCTCGTTCTTCTCTTCCTCATTCACATAATACGTCAGCGCCACAGGCGTAAGCACCATCCATCGCAGCTTCCATGTCTTCCACTTGCTGTGCTCCGGCCCCCACCACACATGCGACACCGACACGCGTGAGTCGCCCCTCCACCCTCCTCCTCCCCCCTCCCCCCCCCCCCCCCCGCCCCCCCCCGCCCTTCCACCACCCTCTCCCTAGCACGTACCCGCCCTGTTTTGTCAGGTATCCCGAATGCAAGCGCCTGTTCTCACTCAAAGTCAGCGAGTATGCTGCTGTCACCCTGGCAGACCTCGTTGCCCTCCGTGGCCGGTTGCTTGGCGCGGTGGCCCTGCGTGGCAGCCTCTGTTTGACGTCGGCCATACGCCCCCCTGTATCACCTATTACCTTGGCTATGCAGCAAGCAAGTGCCTTCCTTCCCCCCTTCTCTTATGTCGCGCGTCAAGTGTTTAACCACTATGTCGCTATGGGGGCAGCATGTCCGTCCCCCCCCC